GTATAGTTAACTTAAGAAGCAAAGTGCTCTACCTAGCGGCCTAAGCGCCTGTGTAAGTTGGTTATTTTCATGACGTCTGACTCACAATTTATCTAGCTGATGGCATATTAATTGCGACCATGGGTTCTAATGTGGTACAATAAATTGCGAGAGTTTTCAGCGAGTGCAGCGGCTTCCATATCAGCGTTTCGTTTTGATCACCAAGATTCACGGTTAGAGCGAAGGTTTGACTTCATCTGTTTGGACATAGACCGACTGAGTTCATTGTGCTTCGCATCAGCGGGCACAGCCCGTCGACGATCTAGCAGTTTCGAGGATCTTACTGAAATCCAGCTTTCGGCTGCGTAACGTGAGGCCGCAGCTGGACGAGCCGGTGGACAGCATGGCTTGTTGCAAACCAGACCAGTGCTGATCGACATCCAGAGAAATAAAGTAAAGCAACTAAGAGAAGAGGAGAGTGAGAATTTTAAGAAAACCTCTGTTGATATTGCGTTTCCACTGTTGCGTCCTCCAATTTATAGGTGTTCACTCGGGTTTGTCTGGCCCTACGTGAGTCGCCGAATAACACACAAACTGTCGCACATACCAATGTATGATCAGGTTTAACGCACATTGTGCAAAATGGTCTGCAGTGGCGTACGCTGCCGCACCACCTGTGACTTATGGCTAAGTGGTCAATTTGTGACCAGTCCTGGGTAGATGATGGAAGACGCCAGGTGGCATAGTACTTCCAGGGTGATGAAAGCTCGTACTTGAGATGAAAAGTTGTTGGTCAGCACATAGATTAAGCAGTCTCTCTCTCTGTTGTCAAAGCGAATATCATCATACCCATGCGGTCCCTCGAGGTGGTAGCAGCCGACTAATACCTGCGTTTAAGTCTCATACAGTAATGATGATGTCTGTTTTAGGCGCCCTTAGGAGCACCTCATGAAGATGTTGCTAGTACTGGTCCTTGACTGTATCCGAGCTGCAGTCTGTGGGCGCGTAAGCAGAGATCACAAATAGAGCACGCTTGTCTGCCAACCTTGTGAGGGCCACGGAGCTTCATAGCGCAAAGGCGACTATTGATTGGAATCCAATCAGAGAGGGCTGCCTCAATTCTGACACTGTGGGCGATCCCAACACCAAGTTACCCAGATGCGGCAGACTGTATCACCAGGAAGGCGAAGACAGAACCGGGTACCGACAGCTGGTAGACTTTGTTGGAATCCTGAAGTCGTGTTTCACTCAGGCAGCAGATGTCGATTGCAAGGGTCTCCAACGTGCGTGCAAGTCTAGCTTGCTGCTTGATCTGCAATAATGTACGCACATTAAAGGTAGCCAGTTTGAACTGTATTCCAGGTTTCAGTAGCGAACATAACACACTTCGGGTCCGGCAGGTCCCTGTCGAGTATTGTGTAATTGTGATGGATAGTAAGAGAACAACTTTGGTGGCGGAGGTTGCGTTGTTCACCGTTGAAGAATCAAGTAAAAACCGGGGTGAATGATACAAGGAAAGGATAGGTAAACCAATGGCATGTGTTTGTAAACTTGGCATAGTAGCAGTGCAACGGAGCATCGTGAGAGCGGAAGAGAGTGAACGTAGTTGTGAGGTTCCGTGATTCGTCAGTTGGCGCGATACCCGGTTGCCTAGGCCGAAATAGGTGGGTTGTCTTATGGGGACCACGGCCCCGAGCTTTTGGCCAATGGGCCTAAGCTACAAGTCAGCAGGACGAGGTAAGGCTTTTGCACTCGTTGGGAGCCGGTGACTGAACATTTACTTCATAGGCCTTTCGGATGTCGAAAAGCCATACCAAAGGCCCAACACCCGAAGTCAAAGACAGAATCCGATGCTCGGATTGTCTGCTGATGTACAATGTCTCCGAGACGTGGTGAACACCGACGTACTATGGCTGGTGGTGGGTGAATTTGTTTTTTTTATCTGCAAAGTGGTATACGGGCGAAGGTACAGCTGAGTGGATAAATCTCGGCTGACTTTGATGTTGTTTCTGGTGTGAATTAAGTTTGTGTCTTAGCCCTTGCTCTGTAATATCTACCTTTATGCAATGATGTCTTGTGCTTTTGATGCTGCTTGTGATTACGATGTTCGTGTGGTACACCGTATTGATGGTAGGTTGTTGAACATCCGTCGTTTCGTTGCGAGAAACCGAGTGTGTGTGATAACCAGCCGTATGTTGATGTTTGCTGGTGACTGCGTTGTTCGTACACAACGCGGCTGTTGCAGCACATGACTAGCGCTCTGGTTTCGACAGCGGCCGAATTTGGGCACACCATCGACACAAGCAAGACTGCTTTTTTGCCTTCTCTCAGAACGGAATCATTTTGTTGCCCGAAATCCACATTGGTGATAACGTTTTTAATAACACCGCGAGATTCTGCTACCTTGGGAGCGTCCTGTCTACGAACCTGCGGATGTTGAGCGAGCTGCATATCCGCGTATCGAAGGTGGCTGCTGCATTTAGCAAAATGGAACCAGCGCGTCTGGAATATCCGTCATCTTACCGTTGGCACGAAGCTGATGGTTTACAAGTCTATACTGCTGTTGCTTCTACTATACGGCAGTGACACTTGGACGCTGTGCCGGAAACATGTCCGATATCTGGCCGATTTCACCAGCGGTGTCTGCGACGGATTCTGCGCATCGGTTGGTGCGACAGTGTTGCAGACACGGAAATGCTGCGCCGCAGTGAACTGCATACTTCAGCTCCGGCAACTGTGGTGGCTGGGACACATCAGCCGCATGGATTCGACTCGGATACCCAATCAACTACTAAATGGGGAGCTTTGTGCACGGAAGCGGCACGTGGAAAAATCGAACTTACATTACCAGGACTTGATCAGAGTGGGTTCGTCACCATCTAATGTTGATTTCAGATGTTGGGGGCGATGACCGTTGATCGGCGCCAATGGCGGGAGCTAATCAAGATGGCGGTTGCTCAGGTACACGAGAAGACACTACTGCATGTAGAGGAGAAACGACAGGTGCAGTTGGAGTTTAGCCAATCGACTTCAAGCGCATGGGGCTGCAGCACAAGCGGTCGGGAGTACCTGAGCCAAGCTGGCCTAGTAAGACATCAACGCGACCACACGGGGCCAGCGCTCGAAAGACGACGATCCAGTTGATTATATTAGCATCAGCGCCGCGTTCTCAAGTACGCTGCGTCCGGTTCCACTCAATTTACCTTATCAGGCCACTAAGGCAGTTGATGTGGTACTTGTGCTACATCATCATAGCAGTTTTTCTGTACGTGTGCCTGCGTGTTGCAATTCATGCATTTCGGAGGGTCATACATTCATTACACACGTTAGCTAGAGATGGAAGACACCGCAGCTATTGTGCCGCTTGTTGCTTCATATCCCCGGCGTGGCTACGCTTGATGTGAATATTGCCAAGGTGTCTACCTGTCTGCTGCGCTCCACCTCCTCTATGCTGGCTCCTAGAGGCTATTGATGTTGCATACATCATGCCTCTTCACTACAGTTTGGCTACATCGACTTACACTTTTTAATCTGGGTAAAAAGTATTCCACTTAATTTGATTTGCTCATTTCTGTTATTCTGCTGCATATTCCATGTCGATTTTGCGTGTTTATTTTCCTTCCAATTCTGTGTTGGTTGTTTGATATCCCCGGTATGCTTGCGCTTGTTGTGAATATTTAACAGGTGCCTACCTGTCTAACACCCTCCACCTCGATTACTGGCTCCAAAAGACAGTTCTTCGTTGCTGGGGGATGATATGCACGGTCCTCGTGGCCGTGCTAGGCTTAAAGAGTGGTTCCATGCACCCACTGTGGTGCGGACTACGGCCCAGACACCGCCTTGTGTACGTCTTGTACGCATGATTCCCTACATAGATAGACAGGAATGCTGCTGTTGCGCGTGTTGAAGGAGAGTGGGCCGGCTCCGTTGATGAAAGGTGGCTCCCATCCACATGCCTCGCGGTTTTATTTTTTCGGGTTTACACTGGATATGGGATACGTGGATGGAGTTGTGGGTGTTGCAGCGCAAACTGTAATCGCAGGCTCCTGTTGTTCCCATTGAGACCACAGAGAGGCAAATCCGAAGCCGGTGACCATCAGACGAGCTGTCGTTGGGTTTCATGTCCATTGCATATAACTTTGGTATTGCGGTCCTTGTAAACTATATAACTGCCTTCGTTGCCCACTTATCACAAATTGAGATGTTATTTCGTTTTCGGTTATTATCGGGTTGATGGCGATTAGTTTCCTTTATTTTGCCACGATTACATTGGTTGCTAATAGCAAGTCGTTTTTCCAGCATCCTCGTTTTCGTCATTTCTCTTCACGCCTGTATCTGCAATTGCATTTGTGGCGCAAAGTAGTACGGAATCGTCCGTCGTACTCTTCGGCTCTTCTCTCATCACTTCTTTGTGTACGCACATTAATCATTTTCCATCCCTTTTAGTTTCAACTTTTTTCTCAATATTGCTTGTGGCCCATGGATTCGTGGCATTACGTTGCTTTTACGGCCGCTCGGTCTGCTATACGCAGTTTGTTGCAGCATCCTATCCGCGGTAGCTCACCCGTTATTCTCATCCCTTCCCAATCGGTTCTCCTCTTTTACTTCAGCATCTTAGCGCTCCTCTCCAGATTTGAACTCTTCTATCATTCCATTTTGTGACATTTTTCTTTTAAAATAGTTAACAAACTCCGTCGCTCGGAGTATGGATGTGGATTGCTTCCCAAGTCAACTGATTGCTTTGCAGCCTTTTCTTTGCCAGGCTAGGCAGCATCATTACTGCTTCTAAAGTCTGGTTCGTAAACCAATCAGTCGACTCGGAGAAAAACTCGCAATCTCTATGCCTTTATATTGTTGTTATCTTTTGGGTTCACTTCTTACTGGATATTCTCACGTTTTCCTTTTCTTGAACCACTTGAACAATGATCCACAGAATTGCCTTTAATGAGTTCACGCACTATGTTGACGGTTTTTGATCCAATTCGACTTGCTTGTTTTTCACCTTTCCGCGCAAATTTTCAGCATTATGTCAGACTTCACAGATGAAAGTCTCTTCCCTATTGCTATTTTGATCGACGAGCTGCGTAACGATGATGTTCAAACCAGACTGGCCAGTGTAAAAAAGCTTACAACTATTTCTCTTGCATTGGGTCCTGAGAGAACGCGATCTGAGCTGATTCCTTTTCTTACCGATATTATTTACGACGAAGATGAAGTCCTAAGGGAAATGGCACAGCAGCTGGCAGAATTTGTGCCGTTGGTCGGGGGTCCTGAATACGTACACTGCCTCCTGCTTCCACTGGAAGGGTTGGCTTCTGCCGAGGAAACGGTCGTCCGGGAAAAGGCGATCGACACTTTACGTGCTTTGGCACCAAGTTTCTCTCCTAAGGTTAGTCAATTAAACAGCTTTTTCATTCCGTTGGTGTTACCTTGTTTTAACCTTGTATGTCCCCAATGTTCCATAGCTAGACAGATGCTCCAATAAATGCTGTTTTTCTTTCGTGGTCTGTACGTTTTTCCTCAAACCATTGACCCTGTGGCCTTTTAGTCTATGTAGTAGACCACCGCGCCATCCCGAGCATGCTCATTCCGACTATCAGATAATTTCTTCATCTTATCTAGGATCTGGGAGCGCACTTTCTCCCCCTTGTAAGACGACTGGCAACGGGAGAATGGTTCACTAGCCGTACGTCAGCCTGCGGACTCTTCAGTGTTATATACCGCCATTCTCCATCTGCCGTACGTGCCGATCTTCGCCAGATTTTTCGACAGCTTTGCATGGATGACACACCTATGGTTAGACGCGCTGCTGCTAGCAGGCTTGGAGAGTTTGCGCGATGTCTCGAGGCTGATGCTCTGCGTGCAGATATTCTCCCTTTGCTCCCCCAACTTGCCCAAGTAAGTCAAACTTGAATATTATGCCCATTAATGCTTCCTAAATTCCATAATCGTCTTCCTCATCTTCGGCAGTCAATTAATTAGAATTTGACACCCCACTCCTCGCTCACAAGAATGATGTCCTTTTAACTTCATTTTCTTTTGTTTCCATAGCAGAACTAATTAACTGTCTTCTGTTACATGCTCTGACCCTCAGTCACGTTTGCTATGCTCAATCTAGAGACTATCTTGACTACTGACTGAAGCAATTCTGCATTCTTATTTTAGCAATATGGACTGAGTGTTTCAGTCATCTTGTTTGCAGTCCACGAGTCACCGGTTTTAGCCGACTTGAGCATGGGCGACCTGGCAGTATTCCAGCATTAGTGCTTGCGCATCTATAAGGCGTCGGTACGGAGTACCGGTGCACTGCTGCTGCCTCGCAGTAATATAACCGAGCCAATTCGCAGCACGCGACTTTACCCCATTGGATATAATCTTTTCGTCTTGCTAGGTTGATTCTCAGTATCCCGTCCGCTGAAGTCATCTACGCATTACACCAGCTGTTCGCTCGGTAGTCTGCTGCAGCTACGCTAAATGTGCTCGCCTATACAATATTCACCAGATACAGCATATCGTACGTTTTTGGTGTGCGTTCGCAAAACCACAGTGTCACTCAACGGCTCGTTGTTTTCTCTTCACCGTTACTCATCCCACCTCATTCTTATTGCTCAGTCCTTAGGCATTTTTGTCCGTCGTAACGAGACTAGAGCTTAACGTGGTGCGATCGTTTGCCTACTTCGACCCAATGGCCTATATCAGACGGTTCCCTTTTCCCCTTGTGAACTACTCATACCAGGTTGGTCATTGTTTACAAGTCAACGCGACTCAGTCATATGATCCTCCAAAATTGGCGTTTGGAAATGAGATGGCTTCCATTTCTGCAGTACCGAATTATTGCCACCTCGTCGCTACCTTGCTTGCAGGGTTTCTAGCCAAAGGTCTTAGTGCATTAATCTTATCGTTCTCCTGTCTAGCTCTGTACGTCATAGCAGTATCTAAGCCCACTTACAACCAAGACAATTTCCTCAAGCTTCAATGAAAGTGTATATATATATATATATATATATATATATATATATATATATATATATATAGCTGCAGTTTTAGGAGCTGTTCTCTTGTGTGTCCGGACACTTCCACAACTGGTTGATCGGAACATCAAGTAGGTTGAAACGCTCGATCCACTCCAGACCCAGAAGACTCAAATTCTGTTGGCTCGTGACAAAAGTCGTTCCCCATGCGGTAACGTCGGCATAACGACACTCACAATCAACTTGACGAATCAATTGCAACTCAGCACCTAACGCACTTTTCGCCTACTGACTTATAGGTTTGCTTACTGTTGACCCGACAGTTCTCTACAACCTTTCTTATATCATCCTAATGTCTGAGGCCGTATCGATCTGCAAATGTGCCTGTCTTCCATTGGTGTTGATGTTAATGTACTTCCTCAGACATTCAAATTGGTTTTCAGTAAGTGATTTCAGCTTGGATTTCTGGCACTTTCGCTTCACTGTTGCTGCATGGGCAATGAGACTGTCGCTGTCCCTCTTGCACAGCTTCAGACAATTGTACCGATTATTGAAAAGCGATGCCTGATCACCGAACATCTCCGTAAGTCGGGAAATGGTTTCATCAAAGCTGAAATCCCGAACACTTTTTGGCAAAATGTAATTGATGTATCTGTCGTGTTCTACAGTTCCAAGTTTACGTAGCAGCAGCCGTACTTTTGACGCATCATCAAGATTTGCTAGCTTCTTCTTGAAAATATCTTCGTAACGTCTGAACCATACGTCGAAAATCACTCCTGAAGCGGGATCAAAAACAGACTCAATGACACTTGATTATCGCATCAACTGAAGGCTTCTCAGTATTGTGGACTGATGTGCACCGGAGCGATAATGTTCGTGTGAAGGTCTCAATCATACGCAGAAGTGCCGCCTCGAATTGCTGCTGCGGTTGAAGCAAAATAGCTTTCAGCTCTTCTGCCCGGAATGACTCCTTAAATAACTCTGATCGCGTCGCCAAAAAACGGTTGTGTTTTCGCTGACAGTACGGATAGCCGATGCAGCCACTCTGGTCGCGATACAGCCACTTTCCAACTCAGAAGACAGAGGCCTCTGACGGAACATGTATGGAACACTCGGAAGACAGAATGTACAGGCATAATATTGGGTCGAAATAAATAGTTCATGAGATCAAAGACCTACTTGAAAGTTCCTGACTATAGCAACTACTAGATTCGCAAAATTTCGTTTGTTGGCTGAGCAAGTAGTGTGCCTACTGGAGGGCTTAAAGGTAGGTCATTCTGATTGTTAAAACGATTGGTAAAACGATGCCATTGGCTTACTCTCATTGGTTAGCCAATCGGCTGCGGGCGGCATACAACCAATCTTCTCCGGACTGCTCCAGACAGAGAGAGCTGCTATGGACGGGTTCCGGTAATTTGCCTCAAGGCACTGGGCTGGGGCCCACTCTGTTCCTGATCCACATCAACGATCTACCTCAGCTTCTCCGGTCGCCGTGTGCCTTGTTTGCGGACGACTTGAAGATTTGGAGAGAAATTGACGTAACGGACTGCGCATGCTTTGGGCGCTCAAACGTAGCTTCGGCACATGGTCTGAAGAGGTTGCCACGCCTCTTCTCTTCCATCATTAGACCAATCCTATGGTACGGTTCGCCCGCCTACTTTCCGATTACCCGAGGCGAGGCACAAAAGATCGAACGGGTCCAACACGTTGCTACTAGGCTCATCCCGAGTTTACGTGGCTTGGGATATGAAGACCGGTGCGAGAAACTTGGACTCTACACCTTGTCCTACCGTCGGGTGCGAGTCGACCTCATTAGGACCTACCGTATGCTACATCTCGGTGACTTCCCAATGCTAAGGCCAATGCTGCACTTACGCGGGCCATGCAGCACACACGGACAGATACAAACTTGTCGTGCCGGATGTGAAATGTGTTCCCCACCCACTGTGCTTCGAACAAAGAGTGGTAAATATTTGGAACAGTTTACCTGAACATGTGATGGAGGAAACATCTGCACAGCAATTCAAAACGTTGTTAGATTTATATCTTACCACTATTCGATTTAGAGAACGATTGCACACTTACGATGGCATGTCACATTTGGGAGTCCTGCAATATCGTGAGTCAGCTATTTTAAATGTTACATGAGAACGACAAGGATATCCACGGCTGACAATTTTTATGACTTTTTCGCCATATTTCGAAAGAGTTGTATAGAATTCCTTTCTACTTGCTCTATCATATATATATATATATATATATATATATATATATATATATATATATATATACAAGCCCTAAGCTGAGGCTGGTGTTGCATTCATGATGCCTCTTCACCGCAGTTGGGCTAAACGAACTTACACTTAAACTAGGTCTTTTTAAGCTGGATAAATTTCATTCCACTTTATTTGGTTCGTTCTGCGTACCTGAATAATCTTCTATTAACTAGACACGTTGCTTACGTTAATGGTGGTTATCTTCGTTAACTTTATTGCGTTTGTATCACTTTTTTGTGTAACTTCTGGACATTTTGTACTTATCACGGGTTCGTTGCTTACCAACTTACTTTATAGGCCAATTTAGGGTAGAGTTCTGTCTGCATAGCCGTATTTCTTAACAGATATCTTTTATTACATAATGTCATTTCATGTGATTGGTTGCTGTTTGACATCTTAGGTGCGGCTGCGCATTTTGACAAGGTGCCTACCTCTCCATTACCCACTACCTCGTCCATACTGGCTCTAGGAGACAGTTGGTCGTTGCTGGAGGGGGCGGGGTGCACGGTCATTGTGACCTTGCTAGGCTCATAGAATGGTTCAATGCAATCAGTTTGGAGCGAACTACGGTCCAGCCACCGCCTTGTGTGCGATTGATTCCCCAAATACAGCGTGCTTGTGTTTGTCTGTGAAGGAGTGTGGGTCGGCTCCGTTGATGAAAAGTGGTTCCCATCCACATGCCTCCCGGTCTTATTTCTTCGGGTTTACACTGAATATGAGGTGTGTGGTTGGAGCTGTGGGTAGTGCAGCGCAAGCCACGCATGGTCTCTCTATATTCACAGGCGTGCTGTGGCTGGCCACAGTGACAGGCAAATCCATAGAATATATATATATATATATATACATATATATATATATATATATATATATATATATATATATATGGTTGTCATCATCCGGTTCTGGATTTGTCTGCACTGTAACCTCCATAGGACAGCAACAGGACGCCTACTCCTACAGAGGGACCAGTGGTGACTTGCGCTGAATCCTCCACAGCTCCAGCTACACGCCCGTTATCCGGTGTAAACCCGAAGAAATAAGACCGGGAGGCATGTGGATGGGAACCACTTTTCATCAACGGAGCCGACCCACACTCCTTCACCGACAAACACAAGCACGCTGTATTTGGGGAATCAATCGCACACAAGGCGGTGGCTGGACCGTAGTTCGCTCCAAACTGATTGCATGGAACCACTCTATGAGCCTAGCAAGGTCACAATGACCGTGCACCCCGTCCCCTTCAGCAACGACCAACTGTCGCCTGGAGCCAGTAATCGAGGTGAAACCCCACTCTGACTTGACTACTTGAGATAACTTCTCCACCTGTCTGTATGAGTCCCTGGGCTCATGTCTCGGTTGCCACGATTATCTCCCTGACTCGATGTAATATGCCACAGCAACTTCTACTCATTCACCTGGCCTGACGGAAAGCTATTGTGTCTTATAATTGACACGGATCAATTGGGAGCGTTAAATGCTTTCTCTCTCGATATATATGTATATGTATATATATATATATATATATATATATATATATATATATATATATATACATAGTCACAGTCAGTTAACAGACATTGTGCCATCAGAACCATGGCAGAATAAAAAAGTGGAGCAGATAGGAATGCGAACTGCGATTAAAAAATGGGAA